GAACCCCCAGAACCCTAGTTGCGCCTATGTATAGGTATACTCTGTAGGTTTAGGATATTTGTTTAGCTTATGATATGGCAGGTAGAGGTATTCATATAACATATTTAATCATTTAGATGTACATTGTACATCTACATCTAATATCTGTTCAAGTTATCACGTGAAAATAATAAATATATTCCTTCAATCGGAATTCCAGATGGTTATTAAAACGTTTAAATGTATTATAATAGGTACCTATAATACCTATATTGTGATTTGAATTCAACAAATAAATATTTATCCTTGTGCAGGCGAGAAATATGTCGCCGTTAGTCGTTAGAGTGGGCGTTTGTTGTTCATTTTTATATTGATGTGTTGTGTATGAATCGAAATTGGAGGAGCTCCTCCATCCGAAAAGTGTTTCTCCTCGCATAACAGTTAACACGGTGAAATAAAATACAAGCACTGTTTACAAGACACCGCATAAATGACTATAAATAAATATGTATATATTATATGGGCAGTAGGTATATCTGTAGACGTCTTGTGCACATGGTCGGAATAAGTTTTTTCAAAACTTTGTTTGGTAAAAATAAAGAAATGTTTACACACAATGGGGTAGACTTCAAAAGAAATCGTAAATCATTTACGCCGGCCGTCGTCGTTGTGTACGCCGGAAAGTAAAAACGCTTCACTCGACGCCGAAAAATTGATGATTTATGATATTCCCCCACGGTTTCATTATTGTTGTTATTATTATTATTATTGTAATGTGTATCTCCGTTGAGTGCGAAATATGAAAATAAAGGAAAAATGACATTACACGGAATAAAACATTCGACGTCGTTGAAATGGTATTACAGGTATACAATATTATGTCGTATGCTGTATACACCACGAGCGGCCCTTTTGTACAAGTCCGATGAAAAATACGATTTTCAGTTTTCGCTCTTTTCGACTGCCACGAGACACTTTTGAATTCCTCCGGGGTACATGCGAACACGACCATTATATATAAATATATAATAATATATTACACCGGGAGAGACATTATTAAATATTTTATCACTCGCCGTCGTATACCGCCCCACTGGGACTGTGACAGAATATACCTATATAGGCCACCTAGCGAACATATTATGATGCATATAGAGCCTTAGACATTATTAAGGAACTGATTGTATTGAATTTTTCTTTTTTGTATACACATATTATTATATTATATAGGCGAAAATTACATTTGATCTTTTCGCAGATAAATGATAAACTTAATATTTTATCGTATAATATGTTACTGTCTTTTTGTTATTACATTGGACATTATATAATATTATAATATATGATATAGATTCTGGGTGAATTCTATACCAACAATAATTTGTAAAAAAAAATGTAGATATTATAAGCTTTTTGCCTCGAGTGCGTTTTTCAACGATTTAATGGCTGTAAGTGGTAACACAGTGAGTTATGCCTTTTGAGTTTTGAGGCACAGTTTTTCTGCCCTGTAATAACTAAATGAAGACGACGAAAATTGATTGAAGTACATACAAATATAGAGCAAGTAGAAGCAACTAACCAAATAGAAAATATTGTTTTATTTAAGAAATGTCTTGTCATAAACTTATAAGTATAATAACGTTTATATATTGTACAATATAGCGTAAACAAGATTTTAGTTCGGTTAGGGTTTTACCTGAGTAAATAATTTACATCATTTTTTGATAAACAGTTTTTATATACCTAATTGGTTATAACAAATTAGAACTTGTCTCAAATTTAGTCTACATTTATAGAACACTTGAGTACAATGTTACATTATTACAATAAATATATATATACATAAGCTAAAATATACTGGGCCTCGGAGAAATTTCGGGGGTCTTGTTTTGATCATCACTGATTTATGTATATACTATATTGACGATTTTGAATATTATTAAACAAATATATAAAATATTAATAATGGTGCAAATGTTATTTCTTTTTAAAATATTCGGCACTTATATGTAACCTACGTCGTATTATAGGTATAATTTTATATTATAGGAGCTATTACTGTGGTACAAATGATATGTACTTGTATATCTTACGTCCTATAGTTATCGTATTGTATGGACATGCGGAGATTTCAGGGTACTACAGTGCAAGCAGAATTTATGAATTTAATACAGAAAAAAAAATTATAAAAATAATATTATTACTATAATAATTCACCGCGGTGAAACCAAAAATACCGTTACGCAATATATCGTATAATAAAATAATGTAATTTATACGTCCGATCAATCATCCGTCAGATCGAAGCCAAACCGTCTGCACAAAATACCGTATTTCCTGCAACGAAAAATCGATATTATATAGGGCTCGCGGGTAGATCTAACACACACACACACACACACACACACCACTCGTGCCCACCGATACATAATATTTTATTACGAGAGTCATATTTGAATTTTTTGCGCGCCAACACATCGCACCATTATTATATTATCCTAAGAGATCGATGACGTTTCGCGATGATTGACCCGTCTGTCACGCAATGTACCCATCGCCGTGTCCCCGCACCCACCTCATATCATCGAGGTGGGTAATAATAATATGCGTGACTGTTTTTATTATAATTCGCGCACAATACACGACGGACGGGGAAGTGAGCGTGTCAAAAAGTGACGAATTGGCGACGCGTGTACACTCATTGTCCGCGTCCGGACGGTTTTTTTGTTCCGTTTTTGTATATTTTTATTTTCCGTCGTCGTAATGTGTCCTCGCGCCGGCCGCTTTTTTTTCGTCTTATCACATTGTTGCCGTTGTTGTTTTGTCGTTTTTTTTTTGTCCGCAGTCAAAAGGTGTCCGAACGGCGCCGCCGAGCTGTCGATCTATCGGCGGCGACGTGGCTCGTTCGGGGGAAATCGACCGTGAAAACTGTGTACACCAATATACCTATATATGTAGATACACGTACTCACGAATCGGGGGGGAGGTACTCGAATGAAACACAAAAAAAAAACTGTCACGTTTCACCGGCAAATGGCCATACCTATATTGGTTGATATTTGGTACATATACGGATTGCGTTTGATATAATATTTTAACGACACAAAATATATTCATTTCTGCACCCTAAGTGTAATGCGTATGAGTACCTATCATATTATAATATCAAAGAAATTCCGAGCGCGAGTCTGGATAAACTGACACTGTGAACGTCGAACGTTTGGACACACATCGACCCACAGGCCACAATTATCGATTACGTATAATTATATCGTGTACTATGATAGCTATCATTTATTCTGCTGTGGCAAAGAGGAAAATCCTGGACGAAACGGATATGAGATTGACGACTGTCGGAAAGGATCAACCGCGATAATACGGAAAACGCAAAAAGAACAAAACAATAATATAATTGTATGAGTACGTATAATAGTATAATACTATAATATATTCAGGATACAATTTATAACATTTCAATATCGGTAGTAATTTTTACAATCGTAGGTACAATATAATATAATATATATCAGATTAATTATGTTTTACAGACATAACAGTTTAAACTATAATCCAGTGGCGTATTAACGGTTAGCTCGTCCCCCTATAGAAGCAGATGATGAATAATTTTGTTCAAACAATGGTAATTTTCAGAAAAATGAGAGATTCAGAGAGATTAAGTAAAAAAATAATTAATCAATTAGTTCTTACTTTACAGGCTACAGCTATAACTTCTATAATATATATAGGTAATAAACTAACTTAACGTGTTATTTTTCAATTTAACTGGAAAAAACTAAGTTATTACCTACAATAGATATAATATAGGTAAATATAGGTACCTACTTAGTTAATATATTAAGTTATTCAAAAAAATAACTAAGTAAATAGTTAAGTAAAAGGTTAAAAAAATTTAACTCAATTTTTCAACTAGTAAATGCACACCTTTCATTTTTTTCTGTTGAAAGCTAAAATTAAAAATCCGTAAGAGTAGCGACAAGTTTCTGGGAATATAATTTTCAAAACAGAAAAAGAATCATAATAATTATGTAAATTGTCTTTAAATAAAACTGGACGAGCTGTAAATTTTGCCAATATTTTGATGTAGCATTGGTCTATATGTGTTGCAATGTTGAATAGTTGTTATTATTTTGATGTGCAAGTTTTTTTACTACAAATAATTGTAATATCTAAATACCACCCTTTTTATTCGTTTTAAATAATTTTAAACTATTAGGCATAGTTAACAAAAAAACAGTTTAATTTTAAAAAGGATCGTTGTAAAATCCCCGAAAATGCGCCATTGAATGTTCATCCATGTTAAAAAAAAAAAAAAAAAAGCACAGTTACTATATTATCAAAAGTATATAATATATTATTATTTTGAGTAGCATAAAAAATTAATTAACTTAATGGTTCACTAAAATGTAATCGACCAATCTCCGGTCACTAAATCATGTTTAAGGGGCAATTAGCTTATTATATCGATTCATTAAATGCTTATAGTGGTAGCAGTTTATCACTATAGACCATATAATATTAGGTATAGTCCATAGACCATGGTTAGTACTGAAATCTGATAATAAAGTTACAGACGCGGACGAATGAACTTACAGTCGAATACAGTTTGTGTTCAGGACATTGAAATATCGATTTCCGCACGTTTCTCAAAAAACTTATTCAATTATAGGTATTATAAAATATATTATAATATAATGGTATGACGATATTTTAAACTATTGATTGTTTGACGGGCAAACGCAATTCATAATAATATGATATAATAAAATCATTATATGCGAGTCAGTATATAAAAATAATAATAATAATAATAATAATTCTATAAAGAAGTAACAAAAATAAAAACTAATTAAAAAAAAAAAAATAATAAAAACATATGAGTACTTCACACACACATAAATACATAATACAAACACACTACAATATTATAATATAGATAGGTATATATTGTGTACAAACTCGCACGAGTTATATATTATTCTGTATGTGTAACATGTAATGATCTAATAGTTCAATCTTCTTTTCACGTCTAAATCCGAATCGGTAATCCCACGCTCTTGGTTTCTGTAACCACGGGGTTTGTCCTGATATTCTCTGATACGGTCGTTGTATCTCTCGATTTGCTCCTGCAACATCCTATTCTCGATCTATTGTAACGAAAACAAACAAAACAAAAAAACCGTTGAGATAAAATATTTAGCCACAAACGATTTTTGGGAAACCATTGCACATTTGCACAATAATATGTACCCTATACATTGTATATTATAGTTCGTTAGGTAATAGAAATTTCGAAAACTTTATTGTTCAATTTGAGAGATAGATTTAAAAAATATGACCGAATTTTGGCGACTGGCTGACCAGTGAATCAGACCGATCGGTGGCCATCGTAATATTATGCGTTTAGGTATAGATACCTCATATTATTATATAATATTATGTTATTATGAGATATGAACCAGGGCTTGTTTTGGAAAAAAATTTGGTTTTATTTTATCTATCTATATATATATATAAATTAATTACTGTTCGTTTGTCTCGCTAAAACTCGAGAACGGCAGGACCGATTTGGCTCAAATTTTTTTTTAAGATGGTCAGGAGAAGACTTATATGAAAAAAAATTTTAGGAAAATCAACCGGAAAAGTAGGAAATCTGGATGAAAAAAATACAACAGTGGCGCAACAGTGTATTATAATTTATATTGGTTGCTATTGGTTAATCGGGCACATGTTTGTTGATTTGCATTTTGTTTTTTGTCAATATATATATAAATAAATGAATGTTTGTGTGATGTAGATTAGACCTCTGGGAAGAAGACAGGCTAATTTAAAAATGGTTAAATTTGGTTTTTTTTTATTCATCTGATATTAGTACGGTTAGGATTTTGTATTAACTGATTATATTAATCCAACATAGGTGCAATATGACAAATTTGGTATAACTTTGGTAATTTAGAGTTAAACCTACCAGAGGTAGATATTGCCTACTGGATAATATACTGCTGCGAATCAGAATTATTATTTTATTTTATTATTATTCCGGACAACTGAAAAGTTAAGATAAATTTTGAACACCATACAACGAATATTAAATACGAATTGAACAAAGTTTGAGTCATATAGATTTGGTACATTTAATGGGTAACGAAGTACGGGATCAGCCAGTATATAATATAGAAATGAATGTTTGTGTATAGATTAGACCTCTGGGAAGAAGACAGGCTAATTTAAAAATGGTTTAATTTGGTTTGTTTTTATTCATCGGATTTTAGTACGTTTGGTTAGGCTAGGATTTTGTATTTTCGCCGCGGCAGTAATGCGAAAGCAATTCCCGCGGCGCCGTCGGTTAAAACTGAAAAAGGATTTTGTATTACCTAATTGATTTTATTAATCCACCATAGGTGGAATACGACAAACTTGGTATAACTTTGATACTTTAGAGTTAAATCATACACTCACGTAGTCAAGTACAAACATCATGGGGTCCACGATCTACCACAGGTAGATATTGCCTACTTGATAATAAACTGCTGTGAATCCGAATTTTTATTCCGGACAACGAGAAATTTAAGATAAATTTTGAACACCATACAACGAATATTAAATAACGAATTGAACAAAGTTTGAGTCATATAGAGTTGGTACATTTAACGGGCATCGAAGTACACGGGATCAGCTAGTTTACAATAAAAACGTTACACAGTTTTTGAGTATGTCGTTTTTTAGAAGTAAAAATTTATTCAACTTTTGCGTTTATCGTTATTTAGAACTAAAACGTTATAAATTTTTTGCATTTATCGTTATTTAAAATAGTGTTGACAGGACGCTACACAGATATTTGTTATCTCCGTCAAGTGCGTAACATGGAAAATTTACGCCCAGAAGATAACGTTTAAATATAGTTTAAAAATTATAGTAAATCGAGCTATTATGAAACTTGATGGTAAGAACATTATCTGTGTTTATAAGTGGGTTTTTTACGATAACTCAGTTTTTAAATGAGTTATGAGCATTTTTAATTTACAATACATTATATACGAATAACTTGCTAAAAAATTTAACTATTGTAAAAAACCCACATACAAATACAGATAATGTTCTTAACATCAAGTTTCATAATAGGTCGATTTACTGTAATGCTTAAACTAACGTAGCTGTAAGTGATTTTCTGAGCGTACATTTTTCATGTTACGCAGTTGCAAGACGGATACAACAAATGGCCGTGTGGCGTCCACTTAATACCTATTAAATTTAAAAAAAACTAATGCGGGCAGGTAATGGCCCGGATACGGAATAATATTATAATAAAATCAATTCTTAGATTGTTTGCATGAAATAAATGTTTCTACGAAACCAATAGACCTTTTAAATAAATGGATTTTAAATTATTTTGTTTTGCATTATTTTTCGTTCAATGATATTATTCTATAAATTACGTTTTGCGTTATGTTTTATTTAATGAATATAATATTATATTTTGTTGATCGTTATGTTTTGTTTTGAGGTATTTAATTATTTTTGATCATCGCTCTCCGATATAATAACGTTTACAAATTTCAATCGTGTTGTTGTCAAATGATTAATGTTATGATTTTGTTATGATTATAACGTTTGCAAGCCCTGGACTATGAACACATGAAAGCTCGCTATTTGCAAAAAAATGTGATGCTCATTATATAAATACATCAAAATTGTATAAGTATTTAATTTAAATATTGTTTTAAAACGTCAAACGCAAAACGCTTGTGGTGGAAAATTGAACACGCTTCGTATTATATTGTTTCCGCGGGGCAAGATGATATTCTCGGCAATAATAATAATATATGCACTCACCATTGCTCGTTCCTCGTCGAACTCCAGACAACCGATGCCGTCCAATTTGTCCAAGTCGATGCGCCCTTTCCACCGGACGCACACTCCATTCATTATGAAATGCGACAGTATGTGAACCTGTGTGGGCAAAGACAAATTGACGGAAATTAGTTACAAGTAGGTACACAGTGTGAGTGTAGTTTGTTAGTAATCATAAACAAACTACAAAGAGGAAAATAATTATATTGTACAGGTGCCTAGCGCTATATCCATATAGTATTTATATGACACTCAATTATGAGAAGTTAACACAATTTTCAGGGAAATCAATATACGCTCTAGCCATAATCCGGCAAGCTTAAAATATAATATATAAATTATGTGTAGTATATTTTTTAATTTGTTCGTGGTGAAGAAAATGTAAAAGTCGGTCAGTCAGATTGGTTTGCTTTTACTTAAGCAGCGGCTGCAAAAGGCAATAGTGTCCGCCACAATGTTTGAGCATGCATAACTACTAATCGAGAACGAAATGGAAATTGGTTCAGATTTCGAAATTATAATTTTCACTCACATGAAATTATAGCTCTATAAATTCGTGTAGTTATATTATTAATATTACAATATTATTATTTATTACATATATAATTGAAAAAAAACTGTAAATTGTTTAACCGTGACTCCGTTAATAATTCAAAAATTAGAATTACAAAAAAGTAGTAGACGGGGCACGGGGACAGTTACGACGAAGCATATACATAGGTATATATTATAATTCATAATAACATTAATAACATAGTATGTCATTACTCATTACTCATTACCTGTATAATATCTCAATATCTATTTACATAGATTCATATCATATTTATTATTTATAGATACTGTCGTATTTGAATAACAAATAATATTCGATCAGAACCCAGTACATTATATACTAGGTAAACAAGACAGTTCGATTTAATTATTATAATGTCATGGAATATACCTGGGTAGCTGGGTATAATATATAGTTTTAATTTTTCTGTAGCCCGAAGAAACTAAACCCACTGTGCGCAATCGTATATATTATGTAAATACCTAATACACATTATATAGGTACACGTGTAAATTCAACAAGTGTGTATTATTTACTGTCGAATCGTCTACGTACCTATAAATAATGAAAATCTATTAAAATATCGTACACTTTACCCACCAAGAAAACTATAATAAAATTCATGTCTCCGAGCATTACATGATATGACCGTAAATATAACCGTTATTATTCGTCGTATTTGAATTACAATTCCTATAATCGAGGGTTAGGGACATCACATGTATATCACATGTATCCGTTAAGTCATTATAAATTTGGTCGGGCTGTATATGTATAAAGAGATTGTGTTTATACGAGAGAGAGAGAGAGAGAGGTAGACAAAGGGTAGGGACGAGGAGAGAAAATCGGCGGCTTGTCGGTCAAAACCGAAAAGCAGAAAACACGATAAAAAAAAAAATTGGTATGGGGTCTTGGCAAATTAAGGAAAAAAAACAAAGTATATTAGAAGAGACGACGATATTATACTCGAGTACTCAAACACGGCCGCCGACAAGACCGTAAACGTCGATTTATGTGACCCCCTCAACCACCCACCCACCAGTCATTATAATAATATATAATAATATTATATACCTCTATATATAGAGGAGGAGTAGAGACGGACGGACGGATACGGTGCCGCTCGAAACCAGTACTGAAATCGTCGATAAATTTCATCATCCGAAGACACAAACGGCCTCAGCTTATATACATACCTCGCCCGCGCGATTGTATTGCTTGTGGGACCATATTGCAGCCGAAACAAAATGGTTTTTTTATTATTAGTTTTTTCTCTCTCTCCCTCGATACCGTCACATTATCATCTCTCCGGTGTCGTGATTATTACAATAATTCCCGAAAGACGAACGCAACAAACCCCGCAGTAAGTATATCTATAGAGGTATACACACGTCCCGTCGCGGGTTGGTTTCAAACGTATGGGCGCGACGCCGCTGCTTCGTTAAAACGTTGAAAATAATAATATTAATAATAATAATACGTCACAATTACAATATAAACGTTCGTCTGGAAAGTAATCATCTAATAATATACCTGAACCACTGCTCGGAGGACCGTAAAAATCTACGACCTATTTTTACGACATTCGAGCCGACCCGCAGGTTGAGTTTTGTATGCGATTAATCATAATCGAGAAAAAAAAACCAAATTTATAGTATAGGCAAACGCCGAATTTATCTCTTGTCGATTTTTTAAGTACAAATTTTATATTATTTATAGTGATTGTTGTAGATGATGGACAACAAGCAGCTGATTTGAGTTTAAAATCCACTATAGGTACATTCCTATACTACCTACCTATAGCTTCTTTCTTTAGTTGTATACCTTTATCTTAAATAATTTAAGTATAAATCGTTGGTTATAGGAACATTTATATTTATAAGCATTAATTAACTATACCGTAGGTACTACTTCATGTGCATGTATCAAAAAGGTCTTAACCCTTAACTTGTCAAGCATTAAAATATTAGAATGAAAATTTTAAAGTAGATATTTTCAAACTAATTTAAGGTCGCTGAATTCAAAAATGTTGTCAAAAAAAATATTGGACTTGAAAGTTCAAAGTTATGAATTTTATCTTAAAAGATACATAGCCATAAACCAATACTAATATTCATGTATCTAAAAGGATACATACTTTTAAAATTGATATAAAATAAGCATTATTGCATATATTATTAGAAACTTTACATAAAAGTGATTAACTGAGTTGATTCTAGTAACACATTAAAATTTGATGAAATTAGTAGTTGAATTCAACGAGTTTGATCGGCTTTAAATTTCCAAAAAATGATAACAAAAAACAGTTATTACTTATTATCAATCCCAATCATCATAGAAACGTTATCGTAGTGTACTCACGTGGGAGATATGACATTTATCAAAGCGTACAAATAATAAAAATAAAAATATTGTACATCGAATTCCGTACAAAAATTCACAAACTTTGTGTATCCAAAAAGATACAACACCAAGTTAAGGGTTAACCCTTTAATAATTAGCTATTAAAATCAAAATGTATGATAATAATTAATTGGTAAATCGTTTTATGCATATTATTTTATATTTATTACCTACCATTACAGATGGTAAGACAAAAAAAAATATTTAGTTTAAATATGTTTTATTAGTAAAGTTTACTATCTTCGTCTGGAGTCCCGAAACCCACCCCATATGCATATTGGTTGTGCCACTGCTTTAAACGGACCTATGTATATATATTTTGTAATCGTTCGATTCTGAGCAAAATATTGAAAAACAAGTGTCAACCATTACGGAATCATGCTTTGTAAATAATCGGAATTATGGTACCTATATTTGTTTCTAACTTGGAGTTTTATCGGTGCGAATACATTCGCAGCACCGTTCTACGATATCACGATGTCCGATGACGCTGCCGATTCAACGACGGATATGGGGACAGAAACGATGGATAGGTACCTGATAACACTCTATCGTATATATATACATGTATTATATTGCGTTTAAACGTGTTTATACAAGTATTATAGGTACCTATATACTTTGAGGACATCAAGTGCCACCCCTACATATTATTATGTTATATACGTATACGGTCGCTACAAAAAAAAAAAAAGGGATCAGGAGCGAGTCCTTTTGTTTACCGACATCCAATTAGACGTGAAAACCGAGTACAATCGCGCCGCACAGAAACGCATTGTTTTTACTCGGACCTATTGTGGAAAGTGGAAACGCGCGCGCCACGTGCTCTCCTCAAGACGTGTGCTTCTCATTAGCGTTGCACAACAAAACCAAACAAAACAAACGCGAGTACGACGCATTGACAATAATATTATAATAATCGCGAAACGTTCTTGCCGACGTCATAGCAGTATAGTGTATTATTCACCTACATTATAAACGCGCGCGGGGACATTTACTAATAATAATAATAATATTATTATTTCGTCCGGTGCAGATCATATTGTAATATACACGCGCTTATAATATTATTATATAGGTAGGTTTTAATGAAAAATAATTATATATTATAATAAGAACACTGCGCCGCTCGCAATGCGTCCTTTGTCCGTGCACGGATGTTATACCATCAGAGAGCTGCTCGTTAGCGTATATGCTTAGAACAATATATTATTATATTTATACATCGCATTATTTTGATCCGAATTTAAATATTATAATGCCATCAGATACGTAGGTAGGTAGGTGCATATTATAGTTTTGTTGCTTTTTTTATAGTTTTGAATTTCAAGTCCAATATCGAATTTACGACGATTCAACGATATAATATTATTTTACCTATATTATAAGCCCATACTCATGAATTATTTCTGATCTATAATACCCCCACGAAGCTTAATAAGTAAAAAGTTAAAATTATAGCGCTTCTTACATAATGTTTCCGGAAAGTGTGTATAAGTGCGAACTGAGCAGAAATATTATGTAGATTATTCATTTTACGCTTATTATTCTAAGCGTTTTCGCTGTAAATATTTCGTAGGTGTTAAAACATTATGAAAACAGTAAACGATAGTGGACCGTCAGATGATGTGTGTACATACGAATTAAATTTATAGACTTCAGGTCCAGGGGTCTTGAGAATTTTGGCGTAAAAAAGATTGTGGGGGGCCATGGATCTAATAGATTTTTCTTCATGCTACAGTATATAAAACTTAAAAACATCACATCTTCACATTGCCTATTTCCAAATAAATAAAATAAGTGATGTTCTATCAACTACGTTACAAATAATATCTATACCTCTTAAAATATTTTTAATAATTTTTGAAAAGATACCTAAAGTAATTTTGAGGGACCTCCAAAACATAGGGGCCTGGAGACATTTATTCCTAATGTTCTCCATCAAATCTGGCCCTGCTACCATCTGCACTTTTTTTTTAATATTTTCTTTTTTATGGTATAAAACTGAGAATGGGGGGCATGTGGTCATCAAAAAAATGCATCTGTTAAAAAATTCACAAAATCAGAAGTAGAACGTTTATAATATTGTACATTCTGAATAATATGTGACATATAGAGTGTTTTAATTTTTAACCGACTA